TCATCTTCCTCTTTGCTACTTCCCCTTTTATTTACCAGCCATCATAGTAGTCCTCCATGCAGCCTCTCAGTTGTTGTTGTTGTTGTTATGTGCCGTCGAGTCACACCCGACTCATAGTGACCCCTCCTTGGGTTTCCAAGGCAGCATCACTACGGAAGTAGGATTGCCCAACCTTCCTTCCGAGGAGTGGCTGGTGGGTTTGAACCGCCAGCTGTCTGGTTAGCAGGCAAGTGTCTTAGCCACTATGCTAGCAGGGCCTATTTTGAGGTTAATTTTTAAGTCTTAATTCCACTTGGCAATATCTAAGCTGTCTACACCTTCAGGATTGCATACAGACCGCAGTTCTGTATGTCTCGTTTTTCAGTGTTTTTACGTAGGTTCTGCTACTAGTTGGAGTTTAGTCTACTTCTGTATCCTTCCTTTCAAAGCTCAGGGCTCCAGGATTAACTTCTGTATCTGTGTTAATTGCTCTCCTTTTCTTTGTTGAAGAGGGCTTGTGTAGTTTGTCTGACTAGTCTGCCATCTTACCAGAACTCTAAATAAGACTATTTGTAAAGACATTAGCACAGCGCACAATATAAGTTAGCTATTGTATATAATATTATGAATTATTGCAATATTGTCAATTATAACACAGACAAATTTTCATGAGTGCTCTTTTCTATGGATAATCATTTGGGGACTCATGGAAATTTCATTCTTGAGAATTATTTTAGGTTTATCTGGCTGCAAATGCTAGAATTTTATAAAAAAGTCAATTGATTTAGAAAGTAACTAAGAATGCTTTGGAGATTATTCCACTGTAAGAAAATCATCATCTTGACCATAAACAACAATAATAACAGGTCATCTAATGGGAAATTGTGAGAAAAATGATCTTGGTAACAGGTGGAGCCAGTAGCAACTGAATTAAAATGACAAACCTAGGAGGAACATACACATACACTACACAAATATATATAATAGACCAAAATCAAGCCCACTGCTATTGAGTCCATTACAACTCATTGTGACCCTATAGGAGAGGATAAAACTGCCCCATAAGGTTTCCAAGGCCATAAATCTATACAGAAGCAGACTGCCTATCTTTCTCCTGTGAAGCACCTGATGAGATTGAAACTCTGAAATTTTGGTTAGCAGCCAAGCCTAAACAGACACACACACACATTTATATCACACACACATATGTACATAAAAAAACCACAATTCACTCCCATCAAGGCAATTCAACTCATAGTGACCCCTCCTTGGGTTTCTGAGGTGGTATCTCTACGGAAGTAGATTCCCCAATCTTTCTTTCAAGGAGTGGCTGGTGGGTTTGAACTGCCAGACTTCTGAGTAGCAGTCAAATGTCTTATGCACTATGCCACCAGAGCTCCTATATACACATACACATATATAATCTTAATGCAGAGAACTTTCTATATTTATTTATTTTGAAAATTATATGCTCTTTGAGTTCATTTGAAAGCACCTTTTTTTTTTTTGAGGGGGAGCAGAATTCTTTCCACTTTGATCATGTGCCTTACATTGACATTCTACTTTTAACTCAACATTGCATATTTATACAAAGGATTCTTTAGGTGTTTTAGGAATCCATGTTCAAGGAATGTTGATGGAACTATAAAGTGTGGGGAGACTCCAAAGAATCTTTCTTTTCCCCCTATATCATCCCTACCCTTACCAGTCATCTATTTCAGTTTGGTGATACTAACACAGAAAAAATATACCAGCAAAGTATTCAATCAGAGATAATAATAGATGCTAAAGTTTAAAGTTGTATATACCAACTTCTCAACAAGACCATATAGGACCATGATTCGTATATAAAAGTGAAGTGTGTACTGACTCCTAGAAGTTTACTTTGTGACTCTTACCACTCTAACTTAACAGGAAAGTTCCCTGATTTGGTCTTAAAGTTCAGCAGTTCTTTCACTTCTATTCAGACAAAATGAGATAAGCTCATCACTAACATGTATCAGTCTAGACCAAGCACCACAGATAGGAAACCAGTATCTGAAGTGAGACGTCTAAGGACTGAGCGGGGAAGGTATGGACTTGAGAGAAATGCCTAGGTCATTTCCTACCAGCCTGCCTGCACATTCCAGCATCTAGTGCTGGGGTTAAAGCCCCTGAAAAACTGTGGCATAGGTATCCTATCTTGGATGGGTATAGGAGTCTTTATGTCATGAGTGTATGACACACTTGTCAACACGGAACTGTGCACGTGGTTATCCATGTGTAATAATTATGGAGGTGCAAAAGTCACAATCTCCATCAGTGCAGAGCCACACTCATGGTTATTATTCTGAAATTTCCCTCCTTGCTTTCCTCTTGTGTTTCTGTTTTGTGTTGTATTTGGTTTCTATAAGACCTTTGGCATTTTTTTTTCTATGTTGTGACTTTCATCGGTCACCATTCAGTTGGAAAAATGTCATTTTGCTATTATTTTAAAGGAACAATTCTCATTACTGATATCCTTTTGTATCTGAATGGTCCATATCAGAACCAATTCCTACTGACCTGCTTAAAATATCTGAAAACTGACCCTTGTCCTGTTAAACTGTACAATTTGCTTTCTATACATATGGCTCTCAAAGGGAGTCCACAGATTTACAGATATGGACAAGTAGAACATGCCCTTCAGTGAGGAATGATTTATATAGAACACATGTTAATGTTCCACATACTAGAGAAAAGCAAGCATTGACTCCATTTCTGAAAAACTGTGTGCTTTATAATAGTCATCTTTGTTTCTTCAAAGCTTAGTGTTTCATTAGAATTAAAAACTTGAGAGTTAGTCTTTAAAACCATTCAACAAGAGGTCCTTGTGCACAGAGTCCTGTCAGATTTTACAAATGTAACAGAATCACAGAAAACGATGTCTCTCCCTTGCTACACACATAAAAACATCTAGGGACACTTGCCTAGTGGTTGTGAGGTGTTGGGAGGGGTCTGGGAGGCCTGTTGCTAGGTTACCTAAGTGGTGCTTTACCAAGAGGCTGACAGCAGGAGCTTCAGTTGCTTGGCAACCATATCCTCAGCCCCAGAGTTTTTCTTAATGAAGGTTTTTCACAATTCTCTGTGTGATGACCTCTGTGGAATATCTAGATGAATTCCCTCTGAATTACTAACTTATTCCTCCTGATGAAGTACAATTTTGCAGGAAAATTATTTTTGTATAACTTTGTTCTAAGTCTCCTCACAGTTCTTTTTCTATTATAACTGCTGGCAGATATTTTTGGTGCTTCCAAACACTACTCTTCCCACTGTGGTTTACACATAGGGGTTACTTAGTAAACACAGAGCAATAAATTGTTTTAAATAAATGTTAGGTTATCTCTCTAAAGCATTGAATATAAATTGTCTGCTGAGTTCACAGGATTATATTTCTATTGAAGGCTTGAGGTCTATAACAGAAAACAGCATTTCTAGTGTTTTCTTGGCTACTTCAAGGATATGTTGAAAGAGATTTGGAAGTTGATTATTTCTCACACTGTGCTATAAAAGCAGTGAGGGAAGAAATGAAGATTAGAGGTATTTGCTTGAAGCTTTGCTACATGCCATCTATGATATAACCTAGATAGTGTTGTACTAAAATCTTGTTTGGAAGTTTAAATAGTTTCTGGTGAAAACCAAATAACGTTAATTGTATTTCATCCATAAAGAATTGGCTAATACAATTCAATCTTTTACAACCTCACAAAGATGCTACACAAGGATTTTCCCAAACATTAATATTTTTAATATCATTTTATCATATTATTATTAAAAGTTTGATTAGAAGGTTTCCAAAGTAAAATTTGTACCTTGGGTTTTTCACAGATGTCTTTGTCACAAAAGAGCTATGTAAGTATTTACAGATTTATGTTCATTTTCTTTTAAAATTTAAAATTAATCATTGCAATGAATTAAAATTACTTTACTCTTGATTCTGCAATGTTTATGTTTTCTCTCTTTTGTAAAAGATCTCATATTCCCTTCTCCCTTTATGCTAGAAGTACATCTGTAAACCTGCCCTTCTTCTTTCTACTAACCAAAAAAGAAACAACAAACAAAAACAAAGACAATGTATTCAAATTTCCCTTCTATGTAGTATCTGCTCTGCTGCATTTAGTCAAATTTCAAGGCACTTCCAATTTCTCAGGAGTATAGAAGAACCCTTCTGAATATGTACTAATTTTGTAAAAATCACAGGCATTCATGTAGAGAAGAAGGGCCATCTTAACAGTTTATTATACTGTGATTAATTAGTTCTGAATAAAATATATGTTCCATTCTAAAACGTCTAGTCCTATATATATGAGCCATTGTATAGGGTCATGAACAAATACCAAATCAAATCCAAACCCACTGCCATCCAATCATTTCCAACTCATAGTGACCCCCATTGGGTTTCCAAGGCTATAAATCTTTATGGAAGTAAACTGCCTCATCTTCCTCCCATGGAGTGGCTAGTGAGTTCAAACCGCTGACCTTACAGTTAGTACCCCAATGTCTTAACCACAGCTCCACCAGAATGCCTCATGAACAAACACTCAATGAGAAATTCTGTAGTTACTATGTATGTTATCTGCAAGGCCTTTGTGGACATGTGGTGGCAGCATGGAATCAAAGGTACTAAATACATGTGGGGGCAATCCTGGTTTTGTGTCAATACCATCCTGGGAGTTGTTAAAATATAGGTACCCTTGCTCTACTACCTGGAAAGTCTCAGGTGTTCGTTCTGGGTTAGTCCAGACACCCATATTTTTTAAAGAGCTCCACAAGTGAGAGAGATGGCAGAAGCCAGTGTTAACAGAGCTTCCTTAAATTTCATCAGAATGGAGTACATACACTAGTGTGGTGATTATGTGCTCAGCAGCTAACCAAACAGTCAGTGCCCCTGTGGGGCAGTTCTAATCTGTCCTATAGAGTTGCTATGAGTCAGAACTGACTCAGTGGCAAGGGGTTGGTTTTGGTTTTAAAAGAGTTATAAAATCATCTCACTGATCCTGTACCTGTGTGGTGGCTGTTGAAGTAGTGCTGCTTCTCGATCCCCACATTTGTTGAAATTGCACTCTGATTTCTGCAAATGTTTCAATGATGACAGCAATGAACACATTCTGAAAGGAAATTACATACCACATTTACCAAAGGCTGGAAAGGAGGAAGACATCCTCAATGAAAAACAAACAAACAACAGATCTGCAGCAATGGTAATAAAATGTATACTTTATTTGTAAGAACTTTCATAGTACCTTAACAAGCCAGGCAAGAAAGAAAATTAAAGTGATGAAATAGAAGTAGGAACGCCATCGGGGAAAGCTGTCAATTGCTCGATACATGAGGAACACCCAGCCTTCCTGCGAGGCAGCCTCATAGACAGTGAAGATGCTGGTGCCTGTCAAGAGCAAATAGATCAGGCTGAGTTATGGTTGACTTTGGAAAATGAGATGATATTTAAAAAAAAAAACAATTACCATTTTTCCATGCTTATATTTTCAATGATAAAAGCTCTTCTAAAGGGATTAAATCCTATGAAACATTTTATTGTTCTTATTTTGAAGTTTTGATAAAGATGATGACTTTAAGCAAGGGTAATTTCAATATCTCTAGCAATAAAATTATTTTGTGTTCTATCTTTAGGCTGTTAAATACATCTAACAATTTGGAAAAGGGAAGCTGCTTTCACAAAGTATCTGTATAATAAAAAAAAGATTGTACACCTTATAAGCATGCCTCTTGGGGCTTAAACATTATGCTCAGAAGTGCTTGCTACAGTTTTAACAAAAATAAATCTGACTATTGGGTGTCAAGTAATATCACTTTCTTATAGGCAAGATATGTATAATACTTTCTCAAAGTATCTCAGGCTCCAAAAATAAATATGATGGACTCTATCTTAGGATTCCATGATGAATCATGCTAAACACCAAAATGCAAAGTTGTAAATCATCAAACAGTTGTAAATCATCAGAGTTGTAAATCATCAAATAGTATTTCATATTTTCTATGAAAATTGTCTGATTGAAAATACTCCTGATAATTGAAGATAAGAAAACTTAACAACATGTGGAAGGATATGTGTATATGTGGCTAAGAGAACCTAAAATGCTCTTCAGGAAAATCTGACATTATTAGACATAAGGTTTAGACAGATTTCTGGGAAAAAAGAAGCAAAACAAAATATAAGCAAGCAAATAAAATGAGGGCTTCATTCATCTATTTGTGTCTGGTTCTGGTTGCTGATGTTATATGAGTTTTATTTTTCACTCAGATGGTAACTACTAGCACAAGCTCAGTTCTTTTCTAGGCAATGTCTAAACACCTAATATCACAGGTGGCAAGGACAATTGGACACATAGGCTGGGAGAGAGGAGAGTAAGCAGTATTTGATAACAAGATAGATGGGCAGGAACTCAAGGAAAAGGGATTTTATTTTTCTCCATCTAAAAGTGGCATATTCCTGAGTAGAACTTTTGACCACTTTTTCTTGGCTATGTTCCAGGTAAAGGAGCTCTGGTGGTGTTGTAGTTAACGCATTGCGCTGCTAACAAAAAGGTTGGCAGTTTGAACCCACTAGTCACTCTGCAGAAGAAAGATGAGGCAGTCTGCTTCCGTAAAGATTGACAGCTTTGGAAATGCTATGGGGGTTGCTAGGAGTTTGAAGGGGGAGCTCTGGTAGCATAGTGCCTAAGGCACTTGACTGCTAACCAGAAGGCTGGTGGTTCAAATGCACCAGCCACTCCTTGGAAGGAAGGTTGGGCAATCTACTTCCGTAGTGATACTGCCTCAGAAACCCAAGGAGGGGTCGCTATGAGTTGGGTCCAACTTGGTGGCACATAACAACAACAACAGGAGTCGGAATTGACTCGATGACAGAGGATGATAATCTTTCCGGTAAGGCTGCCAGTGCAGGGTAATATCACTTTACATCCTCCCATCCCAGCAACCACACTACCACACACAAGTGCTTTGAATATTTCCTCATGGATTCAGAGAAGTAAGTTAAACATAGAGAGATCAAGTGATTTACTGAGGTACTATGGCTAGTAAATGGTGAAATAAGGATTAGAGCAGGACTTTTGGACTTCTAAGACTGTGATGCTTTCTTCAAACCATGCTGGAAAGAACTCCAGACTATAACTCCTGAGACTTTCTGAACTATCTTTACCACTAAATTTCTGTGAGATCTCAGACAGATCTCTTATTCTTTCCTTATTTGTGAAAGGAGATGCCATCTCTTCTTATCTGAATGTTATAAAATAAGATACTCCATTATATTTCTGTCATCTGTAGCATATGGGAATAGGAACTAGTAAATGCTGAATTTTGGAAAACTATATAATGTGTGAAAACATTTAAGAAGTTAATTGATTGGAAAACATAAGTTATAAGAGGCAAGATATCATCACAGTTAAGTGAGGAGGGTCTTGTTCCAGGCAGCTTGGTTAATTATAGTTCCCCAAATTTTTATCTGTGATCCCTCAGACAAGTTACTTAACCTATTCCTATTCATACCCTTAATTAAAAAGAGAAATTATAACATGTACCTTATATTGTTGGATTAAGTAATTTAATTTCTGTAAAACACTGTCCTATTTTGAGTACTCAATAAATGTTAGCAATCATTATAATTATTATAAAATAGACATAGTTGTCCAATACTATTTTTGTGAGAAACCATATAGTTTTGTAGTATTAAAGAAAAGCTACTTATGAAACAACTATGATGCATGTTGTTATTCATGCTGCTATTTTTTTCTACTCAAGTTCTTCTACTAACTAATCTATTGCTATATAAGTTACATAATTATTGACTATAAACCTATATATATCTGTTCACTTATATATATCTATTCACAGAGGTATTTAAAACATCCAAATAAGAAAGGAGTTACTAAAGTACATTGATTTCTTCTCTGAGTAAGTAACTGTGTGGATGAAACCTAACCAGAGCATCAGTGAACACTAAGGCCCACAGGACAACAGAACCACAGAGAAGCCTTGGGGTGGAAAGGAACAAGTGAGAAATAGTCTTGAAAGAAAAGCTTAGAGAAAGAAGAAAAGCAGACTCCTTTTTGGTGATTGCTTTTTGTGCATTGTTTGCACTAAGTATTTTATGTAAAGTGTAACTTCATATAAGTGCTGCTTGTCATTTTAAGAATCTTATTATGGGCACGGGAGCTCTGGTAGCATAGTGGCTAAAGCACTTGACTGCTAACCAGAAGGCTGACGGTTCAAACCCACCAGCCACTCCTCGGAAGGAAGGTTGGGCAATCCTACTTCCGTAGTGATACTGCCTCGGAAACCCAAGGAGGGGTCACTATGAGTCGAGTCCGACTCAACAGCACATAACAACAACAACAACATTATGGGCACTGGGAAGTCATTATCATAACAAACGGTATTTTAAAAGCATGTTTAGTTTCAAGATTCTTTTACATACTTAAATGATAATTAAATGTCTGTCTTGTTTGATTTGTAGGTGGGCAGGTAGGAAGGAAGGCATATATTATTAATCACATTTTGCAGAAAAGGAAAGTAAAGGTCACCATTTAATGAGCTTGACAGAGGTGGAAAGTAATAGAACCAGAAATTGAACGAAAATCATCAGGTTTCAAGCCTTAAATTCTCTTTTTTGTTTATGATGCTATATATATTTTCTCTTGCTTGAGACTAGGATTCTTAAAAAAAGATATTATCTCTTGTTAGCTTTAATTTAAATAAAGTTAACTTTTTTTTTTTTTTCCTGAGAGATTATGATGGTTACATTATAGGTATAATAAGAAATTCATGCAAGATGGCTTTTAAGAGAAAGACCAACACCTACAAGAAATAAAATGCCAAGAAAACAGAAAGAACTGCTTCCATTAATGATATATGTGTCCTAAAAATGTACAACACTTTTCCTTTTGTGTATTGAACATGAAAGATAATTTTATCATAAATTAAGTAATTTATGTTACTTATTTTCTTTTAAGTTATTTGAAATAAAATAGAAAATTGGCTACAGGTATCCATTATGAATTACCATTAAATAGCTTTAAAAGTTGACTATTTTCAGGTAAAATATGGGGACTGTCAATATAAGATTAAGTTTTGAGAGGAACACTGGAAATTATTTTTCCTCTGCCTGCCCAGACTTTTCTTTATTATATAGACAGGGAAGATGCTATTTGAAACAAAATAAAAAATAGCACATTCATCAAATAATCCTGAAGATTTTACTCCATTTTTCCTAATTCAACATGGAAAAAGGGAAAGAAATGGGAACCCATAGTGCACCTCAAAGAGCAGGGTTTGTTGTTACAAGGACATGAAAACAACGAAATAAAGGCCCCAGCAAAATGTTGACTATTGAATAAACATGTTTCCTATAGACATGAACTACACTAGGTAAATGGATTTTGAAGATGATATTATCAGTTTCATGAGTAAAGAAAAATGGATTAGGTATCTGTGTTAGGCTGGGTTCTCTAGAGAAGCAAAACCAGTAAAGCTTATATACACATATAGAGAAAAGAGAAATTTATCTTAGGAAAATTGCTCACACACTTATAGAAGTTGGCAAGTCCCAAGTTCTTGGATCTATCGTCAAGCTGGAGGCTTTTCCCGATTCACACAGCTGCAGGAGCTGAGGAGCTCAAGGTTGGCAGGCAGTGTACTGGCTGTTGATTCCAACAAATGATGAATCCAAGATCTCCAGGCTGAATGGTGGATTGTTCGCTCATGGACAGTTGTAGGCAGCACAACACGATCCCAATTCACAGAAGAGTGTCTCTTTTCCCAGGATGTCCATAAATATATTGGTAGCAGGCCACACCCCTAGGGAAACTCCCTTCTAATGGATTGTCAGCTCAAAACATATACATCTGATCCCATTATGGGAATAACCCACATCACAATTGCTTAAACCACACAGAATTGTGGTCCAGCCAAGTTGATACACAGCTCCAACTGTCACAGTCCACCCCTTGTCAACTTGGTAGTTGTACATATCTTCTTAACCACATATAATCTCTAAATAAAGACAATTATAAAGTCATATTTGCACCTAACATGATATGTTAACACACGTACAACTGAGACACATTAACCCTATTCACATTTCACAGTTCATAACAGAAGGAAACAAAACTATTTGATGCACATATACAATGAAGAAATATAACAGTCACAGTCCTCATTTCTGCAACTGGTCACATGGTCATAGCTGGTATTCAGAACTACCTTCTTCCTCCACCATTTCTGTATTTCCCTTGCCTTCAGCAAGTGCCTTAGCTGGATGTGGTTCTTTGCCTGGTGGGGTGACCCAAACCTTCATTCCTGAAGGGTCTGGGCCATTAGTAGTCATATCAGAACTGGGTTGCTGTAATTTTCCATTGATTTTAACTGCAG